TCGGGTTGAAAAATTTCTCAAAGAATCGGACATTGTTCAAAATTATTCGATTCGTAACGATGGAAGAATTGGATTTACTAATGCCACTTTTCAATGGCCAAATGATTCAAATAACTTCACATTGAACAAACTGAATGTCTTTTTTCCACCTGGAAAGCTGTCAATAATCCATGGTCCTACGGGTTGCGGAAAGTCTGCCTTATTGAAAGCACTGTTGGGAGAAATGAAATATCTTGATGGTTCTGTGTTTTTTCCAAATGGGGAAATTGCATATGTTTCTCAAACTGGTAATTTTAATTTTTGTTGAATACCTATACATATTTAATTCAATTATTAATTGCTAAAGCATTTGTTAGCATGGCTTCAAAATGGAACTATTAGAGAAAACATCCTATTTGGCTCAGAATTCGTTTATAATGCTGAAAGATATTTTGAAGTTTTACGTATATGTGATCTTAATAGAGATTTGTCAAATTTTACTTTTAGTGATAAGAAAGAAATCGGAGAAAGAGGAATTATGCTCAGTAATGGTCAGAAGCAACGTAAGAATTCGGAATTTTCATACCAAATTGGGATAAAATATAATCAAATTACAGTATTCTGCTTTGAATTTCAATATATGAGCTGATAAACGATTTTTAATTTTTATCACAGGAATTGCATTAGCTAGAGCCATCTATTCAAACTATAATACCATTATTTTAGACGATTGCTTATCTGGTAAACTTTTAATAAACCATATTAGTGTATTTTATAATACTGAACTTTATATTTACCGTTACTGTATTTACCATTATAAAGCTGTTGATTCATGCACAGAAAAACTTATATATGAACAATGTCTAATGAGTGACTTGATGAAAAATAAAACTCGCATTCTTGTAACACATCACGAAAACTCTTATGGTGCTGCTTTAAAAATTTTTATGAAAGATGGCATGATAATAAATAAAGAGTATTTGAAAAGGGAAGAATTAAACCCAAATCTAAAAGAATCTGAAGATGTAGTATTACCAGACATTGAATGCACAGACAAATTGATTAAGGAAGAAGCAAAAGCCGAGGGCAGGGTCAAATGGAATGTCTATATGACATATTTAAAAGCTTCTGACTTTTTTTGGCTATCCATAATTCTTTTATTCATATTTGCACGGATCTTTCAAACTCTTCAAGGTTAGTGATTTTTAATTACATAGTACACAGAAATTATAATAGTAATAATAATTAACACTGGCTATCTTGATTACTTTTCAGGTTTGTGGATTGGTGAATGGACTAAAGCCAATGATAATCAATTTTTTTTGCCCGACCTTCTTTTGCCCGATTCCTTCACGAATAATATTACCCTAATCGTACAATATTTATCACATAAATCCCAAAACGTCAATTATTATCTCAGTATTTATGCGTTGTTTGGACTTTTAAAAATTACATCAATGATTCTTAGATCTTTCTTCATGATAAAGTGCACTTTAAGTGCTTCTAAAAAATTACATGATAATCTGTTAAACAAAATTTTATTCGCTACTATTAAATTTTACGATACAACACCAATAGGTAATATGAATTTTTTTTATCTAAATTTTATCAAATTATCTTAGCTATATCTCATTTTTAATTTAAACTATGTTAAGGGAGAATTATGAACAGGTTTAGCAAGGACATGGAGTTAATAGATCAAATATTACCTTTAAACGTAGAATCCTTTATCAACTCATGCGTTTCCGTTGTATTTACGATAATTATCATTTCTATTCGAGGGTTCAGGTTTTTTACAGCATGTATTGTCATAACAGCAACATATATAATAATTGGAATTCTTTATATTTCTACGTCGAGAGAATTAAAGCGTGAGTGATCTCATCTAGCTTAATTCGCGTTTATTAATTAGTATATGTTACTAAAATAATACATTGATTTTATAGGTCTGGAATCGGTTAATAGGTCTCCAATATATGCTTTATTTGACAATGTAATTAATTATTTTATATTTACTATGAGTATAAACGCTCTCATCCTTTTACTGATGCTTATTCATTTAAAGACTATTGAAGGTTTATCTATAATACGAACATTTGGTGCCAAAAGAAGATTTAATAAAAACCTATGGGACCTTATAGATCGTTATAATTGTCCAATTTTAATGAATTGGGCATGTAATCAATGTTTACATGTTTATTCCAGTTTTGCAGGAGGTCTATTTATGCTTTTTATTGGTGCTCTTATTATTGATGATCTTTCTAAAGAAATGGATCCTGCTTTTGCTGGATTTACATTTATAAATACGATAAAATTTAGTAATCATATCATTCAGATTATTAATACATTTACAGCTGTAGAAATGAACATGAATTCAGGTAAGTTTTATGTAGTCATTTTTTTTATATTTATATATATGTATTGAACGTTTAAAACCTTTAGTTGAAAGAATAAAGGAATACTTAACATTGGCGGGAGAAGATTCAAATACAGACGAGAGCCTTG